AATCCGTGTATTCTTTTTATCACGCCACCTGCCCGACTCTCATTTCTAGTAGATAGTGAAAAATACAGTGCCGTTCTCATTAACCTTGTCTCCCTTCTTTTTTTGGTGTCGTTGTGCTGTGCTCCTTAGGTAATATCAATATTCACTCGCACACCGGTTCGCACTCCGCGTTGCCGCGAATTCGCACATTTTTTGGTCCTTCGAGCCGGATCTTGTAACGTCCAGACAAATTTCAAAATTTCAATCTTTTTCAAAAATTAATTCTTTAACATATTAGTCATGACAATCGCTAACCTACATGAAAGACCGGTATTAACAAATATTTAGTCTCATAAGTTAAAAACATGATTTCTGCCCGCCCCTCACCCCCCCTCATTGCCCCTGAGTTAGAACGCCCATAGTATACCTACTATTAGAAATTCGTTCCTGATGCAAGTTACCTATCAATTTACATATAACTACGAAATGTAAATGTAAATTGATAAATTTTACCAACATATCATTATTATTAAACTCTAACTATAAAAAAAACAATAGAAGTTACAATTAAGCTTTTCTACCATTTACATGCAAATATGAATATAAATTAAAGCAAATAAGATTATTTTAATCTATAACAAAATTTACGAAGTAATGCATTTTATTTTAAATTGCAAAAGAATCGACATATTCTAAAGAATAATACCTAAAATATATAGATATCGTTCGTAAAGTAGTAATTAGGTATGAAACCCGCTTTATTATGTGAACTTGGCTTTACCCTCAAGAAACATCTAAAAGATTCTAGAAGGTTCTAGAAAGACGGTTGAGAACCGTTACATTCCAGAAGCATGATGCAAAGCATGATGCAACGCTGAAACACGTTGCAACCTGCAAGGCCCGTTGCAAGCCGCGTAGCGGTGAGTCACCAAAGAAGCACCGCTATCGCTACCAAGAAGAAGATAAGTTGGAGCGCATAGCCAACAAAGGCATACCGCTATCGCTACCAAGAATAGGATAAGGAAAGTCGGAGCGCCCGGCGATGAGTCATCAAAGGAACGCCGCTATCGCTACTAAGAAGCCATCTCTCCGGGACTTAACCGTCGCAATCTCTACCAGGAACAGATTGTCTCCGGTACTTCCCCGGCATACCTCTCTTGCCATTGGCTAAGCCGCATCGCCCGATGGGAGGAGCGAGCCACATTTTACGGTATATAAACCCTGCACCCGGCACGGAACGGCAGTGTGATCCGCCGAAAGTTGTTCCAGTCAATCAGTTCTAATCCAGCAATCAACCAGCTATTACTACGGAGTTCCTGAAGACAACGAGACATAGCCGCCATTTTGGTGAGGCATAGCCACCATTTCGGACCGAGGTACCGAGGCTCCTCAGATCTTCAGACTCAGAGGGAAGAACACAGTAGCGAAGTGTACCATAGCAAGGCACATTAGACATTGTCTAACCTTGTGAGTATTTAAGCCAGTTCACATATCCCTAAATAGTAAAGCGCGACGGGCACTCATTATATTTAATCATTATATTTAATTATCCAATATTAACTCAATCTTACATTACATTTCAAACTCTGAATTTTGAACATAGACATAAGCCATATATTACTCTGCGCTTCCGATATTATTTCAATCTACGATTTGCATCTGCACACGTCTGCGTTATAATCGTCGATTTATTCAATATTCTATCCAATACTATTCAATACTATTTAATCAATTTCGCATACTTATTTGATTTATTATAATAAATATACTTATGTATTTTATTGTATTACTGCTTACTTATATATGTATGTAACCCTGTATCCTACCACATATTAGCGAATTGAATGCCGCTAATTCTTCTGTACACATTAGAAACTATATCCTGTCAGAAGGTACATTCGCAAGTCATCTCTGAGGTACACGTTTAGTAAAGTGAACGTCGCATTAGCCTATTAAGACAAGGACCAGAGAACCCGGCCTAGCCGGATGAACACCTATCTCTCTATCGCTTTTACGCTTTTATTACCTTGCATTTTCCAATAGTTGCGAATAATTTACAAAACCGAATGACAGAGGTCTTGATAATTACTGAGAATCATTACTTCAATATTTAAGACCTAAATCTTTGACGCTTGAAAGTGCAAGTATTAATATTCTTGATATAGATATTAATACACGTACTAAGATTCCTTTCCTATTCCACATTATTATCAATTCTCTTTCAGTATCGTTTAATTACAGTTATAATTGACACAACGCTTAATTAATTAACAGGTGAAGGGCATTCTCGTACAGATTAACCTTTCATCTCGTCTCTAACTCTTTAACACGTAAATCACGACTTAAACGTGAGTCACACTCAATTACCTTTGATTATTTAACTATCTCAGTTCTATAAAACATATTATTCATATAAATTTATTTAACCATTAGATGGTCTCTCCCTTCCGAAGGAAGAATCAAATTGATCGTGACGAGCAACGTCTCCATAGACTACGCGAACGTAGAACAAGAAGACCCTTGAATCTTAACATCCAAATTTATCCAACGCGAATAATCGTACGATCCCCTTCTCCAGACGTATACTCGCCAATTAACAATATCCCCCCTTACATTGATTATTCTCATCCGCAATTTCCGGAGCCTTCACCGTTAAAATCAAACACGTTAATAACGAACCCTAATCATCAATTCTTACCCGATCCTGAATATTATATCCCGGATCAAAACCAACCAATTACATCGCCAGAGTACGATCCCATTTTACAATTTAACAACGAACAAACCTTTCACATTCTCAACGAGGACACTGCCAGTCTCACTCACGACGTCAATAACGTCATCCCTGAGGAAGCGCAAGATAACTTCACTTCTTTCATAACTTACCTCAACCAGCCTAACAATCGCGGAACTGGAGCTCAGTCATATTGTAACTCAATTTCAAGCTCCCCACGAACCACGTCAGGACCAATAAATTTTATATCAATAGAAAGGTTTTATAAATGAATAAATGACATTATACTTGTAAAATATCTTTATTTATCGACCCGACCCGTCAGGTTCCTTCTCTGTCCGATACTCTCAATCGAATCTCAAGCTCTCGGCTTCCCTGGGTATAGCCGGCCTAGCAGGTTGCCCATAAAACAAATAGAGAGCAGCTTCTTAAACGTCCACCGAGGTAGACGCGAGAGAAGACCGTCTTGTGCAAAAAGTAATTTATCGCCAGATGAATTATTGGACGTAACAATCTCTCCGCGTCTTCGTCGCGTCCGGCGTCTTCTGTGCTTTGCAGTTTAAGTGTGTGCGCGACGGGGTGTCCTGTGACCTGTAACAAACAAAATGGGCATGGATAAATTGATCGACGCTCAACATGAACTTCACGTGCGTATATTACGTAGTGTCGACAATTTACGAAAAATTGGGGCGGCCAAGCTGAACGTGGACACCATCCAAGCTGCGATCCGCTTCCTGGACGACAAGTGGACCAGATTTCAGGAGCTGCACGAGGAGCTCCGCGACAAATACTGGAAGGAGATAAAGGAAGATGAGTACACCTCCGACGACCTTCCAAGCAAGGTCGAAACGGCGTATTACACGCAACGCTCCGAACTCGCCGAGATGGAGGAAAGGCTTTCCAAGCCGTCGGAAGCTGACACCTCCGAGAAGGCTCGAGGAAGCGCGCCGTCTTGCAAGACCCTGCCACGCATCAATCTGCCTCAATTCAGTGGCAAGTTCGAGGATTGGCCAAGCTTCCGGGACCTGTTCTGCTCCATTATCCTCGGGGATCCATCCTTGACTAAGATCGAGCAGCTGCACTATCTCAGGACAAGTGTCAAGGGCGACGCGGAGCAGCTCATTCGGAACTTGCCCTCTACGGAAGACAACCTGGAACAGGCATGGGACATGCTGACGACATATTTCGAGAACAAGCGCCTCCTCGTGCGTTCCTACCTGACGACCTTCACATCGCTGCCGAGGATGAAGGCTTTCTTGCCCGACGGCATCCGTCGAATCTTCCACGGCGTACTCACCACAGTCGGCGCTCTGAAGGGCATCGGGCGTCCGATAAGCGACTGCACCGACCTTTTTGTGCACCTGGTCGTCGAACTGCTGGACGCCGAAACTGGACGCGAGTGGGAGAGTTCGCTCGGCAAGTCTGCCGAGCCGCCGTCGTACGACACGCTCCGGGAGTTCCTGCAAGAGCAGCTGATGACCTTGGAGGTCCTCCAGTCCACCAGGCCCGGACCATCTGGCAAGCCCTTGGAGAAGTCCAACCGCGCCGCTCGCACAAGCCACGTGGGGAGCAAGGAATCAGACCCGAGCCGCAGCTGTCCGCTCTGTAAGAAGGATCACTTCATCGCGTACTGTGAGCTGTACAAGAGAAAAACAGTGGCTGAAAAAAAGGAGGCAATCAATGCTCACTAACGGTGCTGGAACTGCCTGGGTCGGCATCTCCTTGCTGATTGCACGTCCTCCAAGGTGTGCATGAAGTGCTCTGGCAAGCACCATTCGTCTCTTCACGACACCTTCACCGTTGTGGCTCTGCCTGCTGCCGGACCATCTTCCGCGGTGACGACCCACGTGGCCAGGCGACCGCCGGTGAAATGCCGATCAGCGCTTCTGGCAACCGCGCGCGTGCTGGTGGCTGATCGCGCGGGCACTCGCTACGACGTCCGCGCCCTGATTGACCCGGGTTCGAAGACATCACTGATCGCGGAATCTCTGGCACAACGCCTTCGCCTGCCGCGGACTCCCTCCTCAGTGGCCATCTTCGGAGTAGGTGGCATCCAGTCAGGCGTCTCTCGAGGGCAAACAGCGATCACCATCTTTCGCGCGACGGGCATTTCGCGCTCGCCGCTTCGCCTCTCGTGCTGCCGCGCCTAACCGTGTACGGCGGCATTCCTGAGGGAGAAGCACGCTCATGGCCGCACCTTGAGGACCTCGACCTCGCTGATCCTGAATTCCACCGCCAGGATCCCGTGGAACTACTGCTCGGTGCGGACGTGTACCTGGATCTCGCCATGCCGGAAGGTCTTCGTAGAGGAGGGCCGCAGGAGCCAGGAGCGCTGCTGACGCGCTTCGGATGGGTGCTGTTGGGCGCCATTGGGACCTGCCACATCACGAATCCCGTGTCGTCGTTGCAATGTACCACAATAGAGGACCTTGCCGAGCTGGTGCGTCGTTTTTGGGAAACGGAGGAGCCTCCCCGTGCCGTCCTTCCGCTGACCGCTGACGAGCAGGAGTGCGAGGACCACTTCTTGCGCACCCATCAACGACTATCAGACGGCCGCTATCAGGTGCGGCTCCCGCTGCGATCGAGGTTGCCGGACCTAAGCTCCACCCGTCGCGCCGCATCACGTCTCCTCGACGTCATGAGGCGTCGCTTCGACCGCGACAACAACTTCGGGGTGCTGTACCGCGACTTCATGCGCGAGTACATCACCCTCGGGCATATGACGCTCGTTGCCTCCACTGTGGCTTCACCAGGTGATCGGATCAATTTCTTGCCGCATCATGGGGTGCTGCGGACTTCGGCTGCCGGTTCCAAGATTCGCGTCGTCTTCAACGGATCAGCTCGCACGTGCGCCGGGGCGTCTCTCAACGGTGTGCTGCACTCTGGACCTAACTTGCTGCCGTCTCTCGCTGATGTCTTGACTCGATGGCGGCGGCACCGGTACGTCTTCATGGCCGACGTTCAAATGATGTACCGGCAAATTCAGCTTCATCCGGACGATCGAGACCTACAACAGATCCTGTGGGCAGAGAACAACGGGGTCAGCGAGTACCGGCTAAATACGGTCACGTATGGCTTGGCGAGCGCACCATACCTCGCCATACGAGTGCTGCGGCAGCTTGCGTCAGACGAAGCCAACCGTTTCCCGCTCGGTGCCGACGTCCTGCAGCATGACGTGTATGTGGACGACATACTCACCGGAGCTGCTGACCTGGACTATGCTTGTTGCCTCCTGGGACAAGTGACCTCGCTCTGCATGGCGGGCGGCTTTCCGCTGAGAAAGTGGGCCTCTAACGATAACCGCCTCCTGGAGTTCATCCCTGTCGAGCATCAACTAGGCACGACGACCGGCGCGAGGTTATCTGCAGACGAGCATTCGGTGCTGGGTCTTTGCTGGAATCCGCACGAAGACACCTTCTCGTTGTCTGTCCGGCTGACTCCATCGGCCCCACCTACCAAGCGGACCGTGCTGGCGCAGACCGCTCGCCTGTTCGACCCGCTGGGCTGGCTAGCACCAATCCTCGTGCGTGCAAAGTTGCTGATCCAGTCGGCGTGACTGCAGCAGTTCGAGTGGGACGCACCGCTATCACGCGAGGACACCGTCGCATGGACAGCCCTCGAGGAGGAATTGCCGGTGCTGGAAAAGATCAGACTGCCACGTTGGCTGCACAGCAACACTCCACGCAGCCCCGTGGAGCTCCACGGCTTCTCGGATGCCTCCGAACGGGCTTACGCTGCTGTGGTCTACAGCAGGGTGGAGGATGGCGGACTGCCCCGCATCAACCTGGTGGTCGCCAAGAGCAGAGTGGCCCCGTTGAAGCGTGTATCGCTGCCGAGACTAGAACTCTGCGGAGCGGCTCTGCTGTCAAAGCTAGCAGAACATGTGCGGCTCTCCTTGGGTCTGGAGAGGTCGGCGGTCACCCTCTGGACGGATTCTACGGTGACACTTGGCTGGATACGCGGACACCCTGCAAAGTGGAATACGTACGTAGCCAACCGCGTCGCTGAAATTCACCGCGACAACCAGGATGCAAGATGGCGGCACGTACCTGGCAAGTGTAGCATTCATCATCCACACCTTTCATTTACACTCTACACTTTTATTACACCTTACACTTTTCACTGCACTTTTACACTTTTTTACATCTTTATACATTTGTAATAACTTCAATTCATTAATATACATAATGTTTTAAGAAAAATCAATATTTCCATAACAACACATTCATTCATTTATTTGTTACATATTAATTCTTTTTGTTCTTTCGCTTTATACTTTCAATGAATAAACATTACTTTTTCAAAGATCTGGTGAATTTATTTATAAGTCGCTACATTTTTGGTGACCCCGACGTGATATTAAAGCCGACGTGATATTAAACCCGACGTGATATTAAAGCCGACGTGATATTAAAGCCGACGCATTTTAAAGGCTGATGCGGAATAAGTGCCAAGTGATCGTCGTATTTGAAGTCTGCGAAATATTATCATCGCTTGGAAGAATTGCTGGATATTCTGATTTTAAGAGATTCATTCTCCGGATCTTTGAAACATCAGAGGCGGATTAGTCCTTCACGGAAATTCTCAAATCATTTTATCGGATTCCTGGAACAGAGGAAAATGCCAATCGATAGATCACCAGTTAGACCCTGTTCGGATACACAGATTGATATGGATTTGGCGAGCGGATCAAATCAGGTTGGATCAGAAAATATTAATATTTTACCTTCTCAAACTGGACATCAGGTGAGTGATCCTATGTTACAAATTCACTCAAATGAGTTTCGTTTATTAAAACTACCGACTTTCTGGCATAAACAACCTAAACTCTGGTTTGCTTCTATTGAAAGTGAGTTTACGGTTTATCGAATTCGATCAGATGATATTAAATATAGTTCTGTCATTCGTCATCTTGATGAACAAGCCTTAGTAAACATATCTGAAGTCATTGAAAATCCACCTAAAACAGATAAATATAATTATTTAAAGAAAATATTAATAAATCGCTTTACGGATTCAGAGGAAAAACGTTTGAGACAAATATTAGCTGGAATTGAACTTAATGATAAAAAGCCTTCGGAATTACTTCGAGAAATTCGTCATTTATCTGGAGGATCTTTAGCAGATAGTGTTTTGCAAATGATTTGGCTTCAACGCTTACCACATAGAATTCAAACGACTTTAGCCGTAGTAGAGGATGTTCCTCTTGTTAAACTTGCGGAATTAGCCGATAAAATTGCTGATCGGGACGGCGGTTTGCAAGTCGCGGAAGTTTCCAATAATACAAGTAATAAATCTTCGGATTTCGCGGATTTGCTACGAAGAATCGAAGCTCTTGAAGTTTCTCGTCGTCGAGATCGTTCCAAAAGCCGGTCTAGAGAGAATAGAAGATTTAGATCGTTATCGCGTAAGAAAGACAAATCAAATAAAGATATTAAAGATACATCAATTTGTTTTTACCATAAGAAGTTTGGTGATAAGGCTAAACGATGTACTTTACCTTGTTCTATGTCCAAAACATTCTTGGCTTCACAGGAAAACTAAAAACGCCGCTTAAGACTGAGGCTGCTTACGACGGTGTTTCTAACAATCGCCTCATTATTTTCGACAGACATTCAAATTTGAATTTTCTTGTCGATACGGGCGCTGATATATCGTTGTTACCTAAAAAGGTTTTATTGAAGCCGTGGCATACTAATTTAAAACTTTTTGCCGCAAATGGTACTCAAATTAATACTTACGGTTCTAAAACTTTAATTTTGAACCTCGGTTTAAGGAGAGAATTCAAATGGAAATTTTGTGTCGCGGATATTCAACGTCCTATTTTAGGCGCCGATTTCCTTTGTCATTTTAATCTCCTAATTGACATTAAAAACAAGAAATTGATTGATAATGTTACCGGTCTTACGAATACTGGAAAAATTCAAGAAGTTGCACATTTGTCAATTTTTACCACATCTCCTGATTCTGTGTACCACAAATTTTTAACCGAATTTCCAGGACTCACCCGTTTTTCTCCAATTTCCTCGGTAAAAACACATGGTGTTGAACATCATATCGTTACGGAAGGTTCTCCTAAATTTTCGACTCCCAGAAGACTTACTCCTGAGAAACTTAAATGTGCCAAGGAAGAATTCAAGTCTATGATGGAGCAAGGAATTTGCAGGCCTTCAAGCAGCTCCTGGGCAGCCCCTCTACATATGGTACCTAAAAAGGAACAAAATTCTTGGAGACTGTGTGGTGATTATCGTGCACTCAATTCAGTGACTATCCCGGATCGTTATCCCTTACCTCATATTCAAGATTTTTCTTCTTCACTTTTTGGTAAGAATATCTTTTCTAAAATCGACTTAGTTAAAGCGTACTATCAAGTACCCGTCGCTAAAGAAGATATTCACAAAACAGCTGTCACTACTCCATTTGGGCTTTTTGAATTTGTCGTAATGCCTTTCGGTTTACGAAACGCAGCCCAAACTTTTCAACGGCTCATGAACTCTTTACTTAATGATTTGAGTTTTGCCTTTTGTTATCTTGATGACATTCTTATTGCTTCTAAAGATGAGAAAGAACATATTGCTCACTTACGCATTATTTTTGATCGTCTTCAACAAGCTGGAATGACAATCAATGTCGCTAAATGTCTTTTCGGTCAAAGCGAGATTTCTTTTCTTGGTTACTTAGTTTCTAACCAAGGAGTTAAACCTACATCCGAAAAAGTGAAATCAATTATTGATTATCCTAAACCTAAGACACTTCATGAATTACGCAGATTCTTAGGAATTATCAATTATTATCGTCGCTGTCTCAAGGATGCTGCAAATCATCAAGCTCTGTTAACAGAATATTTAAAGGACAGTCGCAAGAGGGATAGAAGAATTATTTCTTGGACTAAAGAAGCGGAATTAGCTTTCGAGTCATGTAAAGAAGAACTTTTACAAGTTACTACCCTTTCTCATCCTGCTCCTCATGCTCCTCTTATTTTAACTTGTGATGCTTCTGACTTTGCTGTTGGTGCATCACTTGAACAGTCTATTGACGACGATATCAAACCAATAGCATTTTTCTCAAAGAAACTAGACAAAGCTCAAAGAAATTATAGCACTTATGATAGAGAACTTCTTAGCATTTATTTGGCTATTAAACATTTCAGGCATTTTGTTGAAGGAAGACAACTGATTATCAGAACTGATCATAAACCTTTGATTTTTGCTTTCCGTCAGAAATTGGATAAAGCGTCACCAAGACAGATCAGACAATTGGACTTTATTGCTCAATTCTCTACAAATATTACCTATATTTCTGGAAAAATGAATTCAGTTGCTGATGCTCTGTCAAGAATTGAATCTATTTCAATGCCTATTATAGTTTCTTTAGAAGAACTTGCTAATTATCAGAAAGAAGATGAAGAACTTCAAGTTTTACTTTCTTCAAATTCTTCACTTCTGTTGAAGAAACTTATTCTTTCAGGATCAACCATACCTATTTATTGTGATTGCTCTTCGGAATTAATTCGTCCATATGTTCCTAAACTCTTACGCAAGAGAATTTTTGATGTTGTTCATGGACTCGCTCACCCCAGCGGCAGATTGACATCTAAACAATTACTACTGAAATTCATTTGGCCTTCTTTGAAGAAAGATGTGAAGGAATGGACTCGAACTTGTCTTCCATGTCAACGTGCGAAGATTTCAAGACACACCAAGAATTCTCCAATTAAGATTGCAATTCCTGATCAACGCTTTCAGCATGTGCATTTAGACATTGTTGGACCACTTCCTATTTGTCAAAATTACCGTTATTGTCTTACTATGATTGATCGTTTTTCCAGATGGCCTGAAGCTGTTCCTATTTCTGAGATTTCTGCTGAAACTATTTCTACAACATTTTATTCACATTGGGTAGCACGTTTTGGTTCTCCTATCAGCATTACAACAGATCAAGGTCCTCAGTTTGAAGCAGCTTTATTCAAAGCTTTAACAAACCTAATTGGATGCCAAAGGATTAGAACTTCTGCTTATCATCCTGCTTCAAATGGAATTCTGGAAAGATGGCATAGAACTTTGAAAGCAGCGATTATGTGCCACGAAACAACCAACTGGGTAGAATCTTTACCTTCAGTTCTTTTGGGATTACGTTCGTGTTTCAAAGAAGATTTAAAAGCTTCACCTGCAGAACTTCTTTATGGATCCACTCTTCGTATTCCTGGAGAATTTTTCATTGAAGAAGATTTTCCTGCAGATCCTGAAATCTTTCTTGAAAAACACAGGATTCATATGAGGAATATCAGATCATCTCCTACAAGTCATCATTGCAAAAGATCACCTTTTGTTCACAAGAATCTTTTTGATTGTACTCATGTTTGGATTCGAGAAGATACTGTTAGGAAGTCACTACAACCTCCTTATTCTGGCCCTTTTCCTATTGAGAAACGTATCTCTGATCATTTATTTGCAGTTAATGTTTCAGGAAGAGTTGTCAATATTTCGACAGAACGTCTCAAGCCAGCCTTCATTCCTAGAACTTCAGATTCTACTGAACTTTCTACCAGATCTTCAGCTCCTGTTCCTGCTATTTCAACTCCTGTTCCTGCTATTTCAACTCCTGTTCCTGCTACTTCAGCTCCTGTTCCTGCTACTTCAGCTCCTGTTTCTGCTACTTCAAATCCTTCTTCTTCTTCTACTGTTGGAAAAGCTTTACGCACCTACCCACCAAAGAAGAAGAAAGTCCATTTCGCAACGAATATCGTCACTTGGGGGGGAGTACTGTAGCATTCATCATCCACACCTTTCATTTACACTCTACACTTTTATTACACCTTACACTTTTCACTGCACTTTTACACTTTTTACATCTTTATACATTTGTAATAACTTCAATTCATTAATATACATAATGTTTTTAAGAAAAATCAATATTTCCATAACAACACATTCATTCATTTATTTGTTACATATTAATTCTTTTTGTTCTTTCGCTTTATACTTTCAATGAATAAACATTACTTTTTCAAAGATCTGGTGAATTTATTTATAAGTCGCTACACAAGGAGACCCGCAGACTGTGCCTCCCGAGGGTTTCACCGAAGGAGCTCCTGGAACATCATCTATGGTGGCGAGGGCCGGAATATCTCCGCCATCACGCGGACTTTTTGGCCGAAGGACGTCAAGCTCTTGGAGACGGCCGACTTACCGAAGCAGAGACCGTTCCGATGCCATGCAGCCCGAGGAACGAGAAGCTGAGGAGCTCTGCCGCTTTTCCTGCCTTCGTCGCCTGCTTCGCGTGTCCGCCTGGATCTGGCGCTGGAGGGCACGAGGGCGTCACTCAGCAGACAGCGAAGCTGTGTCGGCCTCCTTGGAACCTGAGGAGCTGGAGGCCGCTCTATCTAAATGGATCCAGGTAGCTCAGGAGTCGAGCTACCATGCCGAGCTGCAAAACGTCCGTGCTGAAAGGACGCTGCCTGCCCGAGCTCACTCCGCAAGCTGGTTCCCATATTGGACGACGAGGGCAACCCTGCGAGTCAGCGGGCGTCTGAAACACGCAATTTTGGATGCCGATCAACGTCATCCTGCCATCCTACCGCCGCAGTCTCACCTGACGCACCTGGTGGTTGACGCCGCCCACAGGCGAACACTTCACGGCGGAGTCCAGGCCACCTTGGCTCATATCAGGCAGCGTTTTTGGATTTCGCGAGGACGTCAAGTGGTTCGCAGCCACATTCACAGTTGCCCCCCATGCATCCGATGGCGGGCGGCCACTCCACGGCCGAAGATGGGCGACCTGCCAAGCGCGCGTCACTCCGAGCCGCCATTTCAGCACACCGGCGTGGACCTCGCCGGCCCGGTGTGGCTTCGAACGACGAGAGGCCGAGGACACAAGGCCTACAAGGTTTTTTGGTGGTATTCGTTTGTTTTAGCTCCCGCGCCGTACATCTTGAAGCTGTCAGCGACTACACCGCCGAGGCCTTCTTAGCGGCCTTTCGTCGGTTCGTGTCCCGACGAGGGTTGTGCACAGTCGTGTATAGCGACTGCGGCACTAATTTTGTGGGCGCGGACCGACAGCTTAAGGCCCTTTTCAAGGCTGCTGGCCGTGAGATCCAGACCATTGTTGGGCACCTGGCAGACCGAGGAGTGCGGTGAGCTTCAATCCACCGGCAGCTCCACATTTTGGCGGCCTGCGGGAAGCGGCGGTCAAGGCGGTTAAACACCACCTGAGACGCACCATCGGCGAGGCCAGACTGACCTTGAGGAACTGTCGACGTTCCTCACAGAGGTTAAAGCCTGCCTCAATTCTAGGCCGCTCGAAGCCTTGACGGATGACCCTGACGACCTCCGTGCCCTGACGCCTAAGCATTTCCTGGTGGGAAGCCCTCCCTCGCCATCCCGGAGCCGTCACTCCTGGACGCATCAGCCAACCGGCTGAATCGGTGGCGTCTCCTGCAGCAGATGCGGGATCACCTGTGGCAGCGGTGGACCCGCGAGTATCTACAGCACCTCAGCCCGCGGCCCAAATGGTGGGCCACTCGTGGAGCTATTCTCGAGGGCCAGTTGTGTCTGGTCAAGGGCGAGAATACCCCGCCGTGCCGGTGGCCGCTTGCTCGGATCACGCGCGTGCAACCCGGCATGAACGGGGAGATACGCGTGGTGGATGTCCGCACGTCCGTTGGCGAGTTAACCCGGCCAGTGGTTAAAATCGTACCACTGCCGACGGCTGCCGCCAAGGACCCAGAGCCACCCGCGTAAACCCCGTGCCGCGAGTTCCGTCGCGACTGTATATACTGTAAATAATAATCAAACGCATCATTATTCTTGTTCGTCGTCAAAAACTGTAAAACATTGAGTCGTATACTCACTCTCGTCTCGCGCATCGTATTCTCCGCTGCATCTCAATGCTTCCTCCGTTTTAGCACCTCGAATAGACAAATCGTTTGTCGCTCGTCGCGACGAGGCGAGCGGAATTTGCGGATGAGAGAGAGAGAGAGGAGAGAGAGAGAGAGAGAGAGAGAGAGAGAGAGAGGAGAGAGAAGAGAGAGTGTGTATGTGTGTGAGTGCATGTACGCATGCAGTGTGGAAAAGTGATATTTTTCAATATCAAATTCGGCGCGTCAATTTGCGCTAATCGCAAGGCACAAATCGCGCTGCGCGCGTTTCGCGCGCCAAACGCCTTCGGCTGTCGCCAGCCCGTTTACGCGGGCTGGCCAACAAAACAGAAAAGGGAAACAGTTTTGTCCTCCGACACTCTAGAGGATTCCACATCATTACATTGCAAAATTACAAGTTCGGTAATTTACATTGGAATCTTCTCGAAGGTCGGCAGGATAAAGCTGTTTTCCGCGCGTCCTATTCTCACTCGCTTTGTCGCAGCTCGCACGCACAGACCGAGAGTTTCTTCGTTACGTTTTTCACAAAGTTCCGTGGTATCGCACTTCTCGCGAATACTTTATTCCTTGTCGATTGCACTTTTTGCAATCCGTGTATTTTTTTTATCACGCCACCTGTGCGCGACTCTCATTTCTTGTAGATAGTGAAAAATACAGTGCCGTTCTCATTAACCTTGTCTCCCTTCTTTTTTTGGTGTCGTTGTGCTGTGCTCCTTAGGTAATATCACTATTCACTCGCACACCGGTTCGCACTTCGC